ATTATTATTATTATTATTATTATTATTATTATTATTATTATTATTATTATTATTATTTGCCTACCAGATGATATAGTGCAAGCACACGGCTATTGCTATTATAATGCCAGTGGCAATAGTTGTACACAGGTAGCCTTTATTTAGCAACTGCATTTAGCGATCATTTGCAATTATGAGTAATGAAAGAGTAACTTCTCAGGCAATCCTCACATTTAGGTCCTTGATTCCACAAAGGTAAATTGAAATAAGATCAAAAGCACAGTTATGGTTTATTTTAGTGACCGCTTCACTTAACAACAAAATTGCCAGTCTTGATTGCAATTGGTATATGAGGAGTGTCTGTATTTTAAACCTCTTAAATAAAAAATGGTGCCTGTCCATTTTCTTCCATGAAAATGTCCTTTTTGATACATGCCTCTCACCCTCATTCTAACTCAACTTTTCTTTGCCAAGAGAGCCCCAGATGTAGTATCTTTGCAACACAGAGATGATTATCTCAGGCCACCATTTCCTTTGGTTAAAACTGTTCTAACTCCAAGGATTATTGTAATTTCAAATCCATTTGAACTTCACTGGACAGAGTTTATTCTTTTGAATGAAATTCGGTGGTGAAAAAAGTAAGGTTCTGCATTTAGGCAAGAAAAACAAAATGTACAGGTACAATATATGTGGTACCTCACTCAATAGTAATAACTGTGAGAGGGATCTTGAAGTCCTAGTGGACAATCACTTAAATATGAGCCAGCAGTGTGCAGCAGCTGCCAAAAAAGCCAACACAGTTCTAGGCTGCATTAACACAGGAATAGAATCAAGATCATTTGAAGTGTTAATACCACTTTATAAGGCCTTGGTAAGGTCACACTTGGAATACTGCATCCAGTTTTGGTCGCCGTGATATAAAAAGATGTTGAGACACTAGAAAGAGTGCAGAGAAGGGCAACAAAGATGATTAAGGATAAAACATATAAAGAACGGTTGCTGGAATTGAGTATGTCTAGTTTAATGAAAAGAAGGACTAGGGGAGACATGATAGCAGTATCTCAGGGGCTGCCACAAAGAAGAGGGAGTCAAGCTATTGTCCAAAGCTTCTGAGGGCAGGACAAGAAGAAATGGGTGGAAACTCATCAAGGAGAGAAGCAACTTGGAACTGAGGAGAAATTTCCTGACAGTTAGCAATAGCAATAGCAGTTAGACTTATATACCGCTTCATAGGGCTTTCAGCCCTCTCTAAGCGGTTTACAGAGTCAGCATATC